ACCGATTCTATACTGACAGATTGCCAGTATTTGAAGAAGACAAATTTTTTCCGACATGTTATTCAGTACTATTGAAGTACACTCTATTTCAGGAGTTTTTCTGTATTTAGTGTTATTAAGCAAAATGCAGTCTATGAGGATTTGGATATATTATTTTGCTTGACTACCAAAATTGTTATAATTATAGATGCCAGTGTTTTGAAAGGGTGTAAATATGTATATGAACTGTTTTACATATGACATTTTTTACGAATATATATATACATTTTTTTGTCTAAATCATAGAACATTAATCCGAAAAGCAATAAACAGGCTTTATTGAGCTATTTTCTATCACGACTACATAATATATAGTATATTGTGACAGTCAGTAAAAAGTAAGTCTAAATTAAGTACATTTTTATTATTAAAAAAAATAATTGATTCTAAAACCAAATACTTTGACTGATAATATACTCGTATAACAGTATTAATCCTATTCACTAGTAAGAGGTTTGAATGACCTCCATCTCCTCCTTAAATTTAGGGCAGGGCTGTCTAAACCAGATGCGATCGCGGGCTAATACAAATCACTATATAGATTGGGGAGCCGCAGAAACAAATACATACGTTCATAGTTGTTTTCGACAAAAATAAAAATACGGTTATAATGTTAAACTTAGTAATTGCGTAATTGTAGTAGATTAAAAACTTGTCGCGGGCCGCACAAACATAAGCGGCGGGCCGTGCTTTGAACAGCCCTAATTTAGGGTATGAAACCTTTTGTAAAGGTTATATTTTAATTATATATTGAACTTCTTTAGAAAGCAATTTGGTTGTTTTCATGCATTTCAAGCGGTTATTTTATACAATAAAAGTGACGTTGAATAGCACATTCCGTCATTATTTTAGCATCAAAATTAAAAGAAATACTATTGATTTGTTTTAAAGTAATGCTGTCCAATATTTTTATATGTGCATTTAAAAATTGAATTGCTACTTCTACCAACGTAGTGTTCAGTAGGTATATTAAATTTGCAACAATGCTTGTAATGCAATATTATAGATATAGTCGATGACAGAAATCGATGTCGATGACGCAAAATATTCTGTTAGCTATTGAGAAAGAAATATATTTTAAGTTTTTGCCGAAAAGGTGGATGTCATATAAACTTAAAAATTAAATACATTAATTAATTTAGATTTTACTTAGATCTTATATACAGGGCTGGGTATAGTTAAGTAGCCTCAGATTATGAGATGCAGCTTATTTTCTTGTTAAATTATAAGGACTTCGTGATAATCTTTTAATATGGTAGCTTGTGACTTATTATTGATTGTTAACGATTATTTTAAATATTTTTTTTTTAATTTTAGCAGCATTTCGACGCTAGATTCTGTCGGAGAGCCACACTGCTGTATTCCGTATGTTCAGTTGAGATTTAGTTCAGATTAAATGATATGAAATCACTTCTGTGATAATAGTAACCGTTATTGTCTTTACCACTACAACACGATAGAGACATTGTATATTCAAAAATAAAATTATCGAAACCAAAAACATATCGTAATAACATACGATTATTTTAAGAAAAGGTGTTTCCTTGTTACCTTTTCTTTAAAATACATGTAGAAAATATTAAAAAAAATCACTTAAACAGGATATAAGTTTCGTTTTGAGTAGACAACTATAAGTGAAATCTGTGTCTAAACAACATGCGATAGAATATTTTTCATTATCCACTCAGTAATTAGCGTTAAAAACTCTACAAGAATCGGTTTTTATTTTTGAAAAAATTATAGCATATAACAACTGTCCAAAAGAGTCTCTTGTCAGATGAGCTTTCCCATAAGAAACATATCCATTAAAGAAATAACCGATGGAAATGTGATTAAAACTCTTCCTCGAAAATATGTCACGTTATTAAGATTAATATAAAATTTTATCTTCAAATTAAATCACTCTCCAAGCCAATGGAAATGCGCAGAGATCCAAACGATTCCTAAACCAAATAAACTTGAAAATGAATTGACATCATACCGTTCAATTAGTCTTTTAGTAGCTTTTTCCAAACTATTTGAAAAGATGCACTTGCAAAAACTTCTGCCTTTTCTTCACAAGTTAAATATAATACCGGAACATCAGTTTGGGTTTAGACGAGGTCATGGTACACCAGAACAATGTCGTCGCAAAGTCCATATAATTACCAAAGCCTTTGAAAATAAAAAATATTGTTCTTTTGTCTTTCTGGATATTCAACATACATAATTGATTATGGCATCAAGGTGTATTATTTAAGATAAAAGCACGACTTCAAGCTCCATACTTTTTACTAATCAGATCATATCTTAACAATAGATACTTCTATGTTAAATAGGATATTGCCGCATGGAAGTGTACTAGGGCTCATCCTTTATACTCTCTTTATAGCAGACATATCTGTTCTAGCTGAAGTGAAACCAACTATCTATGCTAATGACACAGCGATTACAAGTATGTACATACGACATTTGCGCCAGTGGCCGCCAGTGTTTTTAAACAATCAACCACTTCCATTAAATATCTCGGTATTCATCTTGATCGTAGATCGACGTGCAATGTTCGCATTAAAGCTAAACGCAAGCAGATTAAAGTTAAAAGAATTTACTGGTTACTTGGATGAAATTCTCAACTCAGCTTAGAAAACAAAGCAAGACTCTACAAGTTCATGCTTAAAACGATCTGAATATATGCAATTCAGCTATAAGGTGCAGTGAGCAATTCTAACATTCAAATATTGCAAAGATTTTAGTCAATCACTTTACGAATGATTATAAATGCGCCTTGGTGAGTAACACAAAGGCTTACAGATTGCTTGGTTAAGAGACAAAATAAAAAGTTAAAGTTACAGGTACATCAATGGACTTGAAGTTCACTCAAATACTCTTGCCTTGTCTCTGTTAGACAACAGTTAAACAACAAGACGACTGGGTTCTACCCTATAGAACCCAAAGAAATTTTAGAAATTTTGTGTTTCCTCTGCAATAGCCCGAATAAAAGCGAACAAGCACATTTTCGTAGAGTTGAGAACTACCAAAACCAATCGATACTTTTCCAGAAAAACAAGTTGAGAAAAATTTGCCAGCAATCATGCGTTCGAATAATATCACATGATTCTGCCGTTAATGAAAACAAGTGCAGGGGCCGGATTCGAGAGGTCACGGGTGTTAACTTATATATTATATTAAGATTATATTAATAGGTAGTTATTAGATAATCGATAAGTTTAAGCTAAGAATTGTATTCCAAGTAATTAACCCGTATGTATTATAAGTTAGTGATAGGATAATGATCACATCTTAAACGCTAAGTATATAACAGTTAATTCCACTGGAAGTTAATTGTTTCTGTTATATAGTATAAGTAATAATTAAATTTGTGTGTGTGTGTGGTAATTGTCGTGTGATATGATAGATTCCAAATAAAAATGCAAAAACAAAACAAAAATCAAATATTGTTGTTGTAATACGTAAAGATCGGCTTATGTACTCTTCTTTAGAAGTGCTGAACGCACTTAGTCATCGAACTTGACGAGTGGCTCCTGAACGTAGTATGAGCCAAGCAGATCCGTATGGATCCGTAAGGATCTGCTTGTGTAGTCTCTTTTGGGAGTACTTAACGGCAGTTGGTCATCGAACTCGACGAGTAGTTCCGACCGTTTTTGAAACCAATATGTATATAACAAAATCAAACTGTTGTGTTGCAACGATCAAGTTAGATCGTGGCAAAAGCAGACGCCTAAGCTGTATAGATCGTTATGACAATAACAAAGCAAATATAAATATGAGAACTAATAGACGATTCTGAAAATTAAAGAAAACTTTTTGTACCTGTTAACTTTTCAGTGAAAGGTACAGTGAGGACTCTACAGCCAAATATGATTATGATGATAATCAAAAGATACTTTCGCAATTCAATTCTACACTGTAAACAAAAGAAAAGATAGTAGTAATAATTTAATTTTATAATTTTAAAAAATGTATTTTATTTAGATTATGTGTAGACAATAAAATTTATAAATAATAGTAAATATTGATTTCATTTTATAACGACTGTTACTAGATATAAAACACAATTTCTTTTTTTAATATGTATGTGAATATTAACAATCTTTATATGTAATAATTTCATATTTTTTTTTATTTTTAACACAAAATATTCAGTACGAAAATACAATGCTTCTACCAAAAATATTAGATTATCTTTTTACATATTTATGCATACATATAAAAACATATATGTATCAAATATACAAACAATCATATATATAACTAATATATAATCATTGTTATTGAAAATTAATTCAATTTGTTTTTACTTTATGTTTTGTTTTGTATTTAAGAGAGAGAAAAAAATTATTGCCAAACAAAATAAAAGAAATAAATAAAAAATGTTTTAAGAACTTAATATAGTAATTAAAAATTTGATAATACATATAACAACTTTAGGTTAAATAAATTAAAATAATATAAATATTTTCTTTATAAATATACGGTTATTACTTCTTCTTTTTTGAAAGTTTAACACCAAAAACAATTTAAAAATGATAACTATTTAAATAAATTAATTAATTAATTAATTAAAACCTCAAATTAACTCAACAGCTACAACCGCCCACAAAATAAGGCACACGTCTTATCAAAATATTGTTGTTATGACATTGCAGTGACAATTAATTTAATATTATTATATATATTATTAAATACATTAATAATATTGTATAACATTATACTATATTATACATATTTATGTATATATACATATATATATTTATGTAGATTATATTCATAATATTAGTTAATTAAAATATTTTCTTTTGTAAATGTTGCAAAAATTAAAAGAAAAATTGTTCGATTTAACGATATAATTATCGTAACGAATTGGAATTATTCAGACTTTTTATATATATTAGTAACGCTGTTTTAATTATTTTTAAAATTTCTCTACTTAATGTTTTTATTTATTTTTAAATAATGCTGGAATGATTTTCAGTTTAACATTTTCTTTTTAATTTGATGCTCTATTTTCAGATATTTTAAAACTAGTTTGCTCGTAAAGTGCGATTTTTGTTCATGTTGGTCAACATTAATGATATATATGATGTCAATAGATCATCCATTTTATATCCTAAAGGTGTTTCACAAAGCAGCTTTGAACCACGCACCAAATTTCCGATTGTCATGTGGAAATAAGTGTTGCCCGAAGACCAATTCGATATGCGCGTAAAGGGATGTGTAACTAAAATATCCTGAAAAAAAAATTATTATGTATTTAATAGTCACAAAATAAATATATAGAATTTTTTTGAAAAATGTTCTAATCTCTCATTATTATCTATTATCTAGATTTATATAATAAATACGAAATAAAAATTATTAAATTTGATTTTTAAAGTTAATTATGACGACACAAACCATGTTTCTCAATAGAAACTATTACAAAGATAATTTGAACAGTAGTGAATCACAACAACAAACAACAAAATTATTTATTAATTAATTGAATTTTTGACTAAGAGCTGTTTCGAATATTACCAAATATCCTTCATGAATGGTTTTTTCGAAATATTTTTTGTTATTATTCTATTTCTTTAATTTTCTTAACTTTAAATAATTTTCTTTAATATATTTTTAATTATTCGGAAATAATATTTCGAGACTGCAAGTACTAAGGGTTCTAAAAATTATATTAGACTTATATTTAAAAAAATTTTAGGAATGGGACGTTTTTATAGAGAGGTTTTTCGAACAGTAGTGAACTACAACAACAAAAATTAATTTTTATATTATTTTAATTAATTGAATTTTTGGCTGACCATACAACTGTTTCGAGTATTGACAAATATCCATCATTAGTGGTCTTGGAAATAATTCTTGTATTTAATTATTCGTTAATAATCTTTTTTGAGACTGCTAGTACCAGGAATCGAACTCGTTCCCTGTCAAATTTGAAACTCAAAGTCAACACTCCTTAACCAATTGTATGTTCGCACTTTTTTTCTGAACTTTTGTTAATTTGCTGTGAAAGTTTTATTAACAAATTCACTCGCTGTGTTTATATTAGAACAAAACCAAAAAACAAGCTGTAGAATAATTTAATTAATTAATTATATTTTTATTTTTAATTGTTAATTACAGTATTATTCTATTGGTAAAGGCACTATTTGTTACATGATTTGTTTAGAAATAAAAAAGACTCGAAGAAATCACAACATCCAAAAAATAAAATCTGTCAAACACTAAATACTCTAAAACTAGAACTTGTGGTTCCAATTTCAGAAAGTTTAATTCTTTTAATTTTTTACATGTACATTAGTGATCAGCAAAACAAAACTGAAAACGGGATATCACCACAGTCATTATTTATTTTTCCTCTATTGCTGAAAACACACGCGAACAATCTTTTGGATCAACGTAATGACATCATAATTCTAAAAAGCATAGTACCAATCTTTTTTAGGACCTATGTATTGTCAATATTTTATCAAAAATTAAACCGAAATAATAAGCATCTCAAATTAGTATGAATATCCAAAACTAACGTTTTTTGAGAATAAAAGTCAAAAATTTGGAAACATTTAATATATCTGTACTACTCCAATAATCAACTGGCTCTAATTGTAATCCTAATGGAACGGTATACTAATGCTTTTAAAACTGAACTGGAAGTAATATTTAAAAAAAAAAAAACACGCTGAATGGGGTGATGAAACACCTCAAATATGAATAATGGACCGTAAAGTTATGGCTGAGTAATTACCCAGATAGTCTTATGTTTGAATTGAAAACAGAATTATCGATATATAACCAAGTTATGATAAACTGATTTTTTTTTAATTGATAAGACCGCAACTCTATAAATTTTAGTAAAGCTCTTTCATATATTTTAGTAGAGATTTTTGATGATCTTTGATACAAAATTTTAATAAATCCGAATTTAACAAATACAAATTTTTTAAGATAATATAAAAAAAAACAATATACCATATACTAAATTCTATAAATAAATACCTTTGTCACTGGATGAATCAGGCTAACACCATGCTTATTAATAGCAATCAAAAGCATTTCTGGATAATTTTGTTCCGTAGTTTGTTTCACCTCAAAGAATGCAGAACCAAATGTCGGCCATCTAGCAATGAATATATTTTTCGTATAAATTGTATAATATCAATTCCTGTAAACTACATACCGATAAACAATTTTCAAAAAAGCCACCTTCGCATCTTCTGAAGACATACCGCCGTCTTGGTTATAAGAAGCTACAACGGATCGTTTCCATTCGTTTGTGCTTTGCATTTTCAATATGTCAGAGGGTACCAATTCCCGTAACATTTGCCTGAAATAATTTTTATAAACGAATTCAAAAGGATATTTGAAAAAAAAGTATTGAATGAAACGTACGGTATGGCTTGTAATTCTTGTTTATTCTCTCCAAAGCGCACGCGGTACACCAGTGCAGCTAATTTAGCTGCTTCTTCCCTTGAACACTTATGATAGCCACGTAGCAGTTTTGGCAATTCTTGATGATAATGGAATATTAAATCAGCATTTCGATCCTTTCCGGGTACCGTATTGGTCCATAATTTTTTCATAAAGAACACTTGGTATGTGAATTGTGGATTGGTACCATCTCTAATGGGGCGTGCTTTTTTGATCCAATCAGTTAAATGTCGCACAAAATCAAAGAAAAAGTCACCTTCGGGCACAGATATAACTTTATCGGCTATTTTAACAAATAATGAAAACCCTTCGCTTGTACGCAGTGATAAACGTTGAGAAATGTTATGACAAAAGTCTTTTGCTCGTGTCGATGAATCCACTTCAAATGCCTCATCTGTATCATCAGGAAAATAAACTTTATGAAATATTTGCGTAGTCTTATGTTGTATAGCTTCAACTTCGACTTGGTGCGGTGGATACTTCCGTTGCCCATTACGTATTGTCTTTTGCAGTCTATGCATTGAATCCTGTGAAATTTGATGCCTTCTCGTACGCAGAAACATCATAAGTTCTTTTAGCAAATTTTGTGAACATGCAAACAACCCCGTCGCTAACCACATCAATTCCCAGCCTCGTTCTTCGGATATACGATTTCGATTATCTGTCAGCTGTTTCATTATTTGACAATAGATTTCATCACGCAGTATTTCATGCTTTAGTGGGCCTTCAAAAATGTGATCAGTGATCTCATTACCCATCCGTGGACGCTTTGATGGTAGATCACCCATATATTTAAGTATGGCAGCGAACGCAAAGCAAGCTTCTTCAGCCAGTTCTTCTTTGCTCTGTAGTTTACGCAATAGCGGCGCCTTAATAGGATCTCGCGAATAACGCCATATTTCATCTGAACGCTTAGAACTCAGAGTGAGTGTTTTTGACATAGTACGTTTTGGTGGTAGCCGAAAATGATCAATCGCATATTCCATTAAAGTGTGAGGACGATCACATGGTTCAGGTACCCCATTAGAAACCATGCTAAGACGTCGACCATGATGTGCTTCTTCAATATTAAATAATGCCAATATATCTTGAGGTGGCTTTGTAAGTGTGGGTAGCACGTATACTGTCTCAGCTGGAAAATCACCACGCTCTTGTGTACGTTCACAACGGCCAATACACCATCTATTATTTAATACAGAATCACCACAGGAATCATCTTCTAATGTTATAAGGTCGCCTTTTAGGAAAGAAAGAAAACTGGATCCATCAGTAGGTGCTCGATAGTCTTGTATGGCAATGACATATTTAGAGCTAAAATCAGATTACAACATTATTACTATATTTTGCAACATTTTACTTATGCCACTTACCGTTTTTTTAAGCCATCTAGAAAATAGACAACCAAATCACGTATATCCTCTGCATTCGGACTTTGAAACGTGAACTCTTCGCCACGTACCGTAGATAAACTAAACGTTTGTGTAAAAACTTTGTTAGTTTTTTGACTCGAAACTGATGTTATTTCTGGAAAACTAAGCTCCAACAATACTTGTTCTTGATCATCGACAACATAAACGCCAGTCCAATTTACAGCGATTATAACATCATTTTTCGGTAAATTGGGTCCTGAGTTTCTGTATGCTTCATAAAAGCGCGAAAATAATAGAGGCCATTTGTACTTGGCGTAACTTACAATATCTTCCTTAATTTTTAACGACGCTACTTTTTCTTTAACGTAATATGATTTTTTATAAGCTTGTAAAACAAGCGCTGCCCAACGCTCAATTGCTTTTTCCACTCCAGTCAGACAAAAATCAGGTATAAAGTTTGGCAACAGCGTGAATAAACGTTCCATTGACATATCTGTACCATACTCAATAAAGTACTGTTGAGCAGCAATCATAGCCAAATCTTCCTCTTTATCGCAACGATACTCTCCAAATTTAACTCCACGCACAACTTGCTGGTAAATGAGATTCGTAGCAACTTGATCCTGGGTTGGTTCATGCCACGGTGCAAAAATTTCTTTGCGGAAAAACAATCGCCATGGTGCATTGCGTTCTTGTGCGCCTTGCTCCTTAGCATACTGTTCGCATTGAGAAATAGCATCCATCACATGATCGCCGCCACTACCTAATGAGGATACTTTATCGAAAAGTGCTATATAAAGTGAAAAACCAAACTGATCCTTCAGTGTAATTTTATCTGAAAGTTGGTTGCAAAGTTCGCGTGCAGTTGTTGCCGAATCTGCTAACAGAGTTTTAGTATTGCCATCCATAAATGTGATAGGTAGCATAATAGGTTTCTTTGACTTAGTTGCTTGCAACTCCAACCACGAAGGCGGTTGATTGCGAGTACCATTATTAAAGGTACGTTTTAAGCGCTCTTCACAATATGGCGCATAACCAGGTGGTCCCTCTCGTATGAAAGCGCGTAGATAATTCACGAATTTCTCTGATGGAGCAAAGCATCCCACACAGAGTGATAATAAAATCCAGCCGCGAGCATGTGATGACTTCAAGGGGTTATTTGTCAGTTGTTTACATATTTGGCAGTATATTTCATCTCGTAACTCTGCACGTAGAATACCATGACCTATAATGAAGTGCAACTTCTCAAGATTAGAGGTAGGACGTGACTGCAACCATGACTGATAACTGTCTGCAGTATACTCTTCATCTTGTAGCCTTCGACGAACATCCTCGCCAAGTTTATTTTTACGTTTGAGCGTTAATGAAACTAGTTTGTGCCTGATTGAGCGTGGTTTTTGCTTAAGGAAAGCTTCTGGATCAAGACCCATAAGTTGAGCTTCTTGAAATTCCTAATTAAAAAAAATTAAATTATTGAAATATATAAGCTTATATTGAATATGCAATAATAGCCTTACTTTGCTCCTAATAAAGTTGCGACCTAATGTGGCAGTTACTTTCGACATTACTGAAGTGGTATCCATACGATCCATTGTATGATATTTTGGTTCTGGCATGTCCCCAGTAAATCGCAATATAGTAATCCATAATGCTTGAGCTGCTAATTGATCGCCCTGTGTATGCAGTGGTAACAATGGATGTTTCAAAGCCTTCTTTGAATACTGGTGCGTTACATTGCCTTGGAAATATGTTGTAGCAAACTTTTGGAATTTGAATTCAGATAAATCTTCTTCGTCTTCGGAAACGTGAATGGGTGCAATAATATCCTAAATATAACAATAAAAAGAGATAAATTAATGTTTTCAAAAATAAAAAATTACATACATCATGGTTGGAGTTGCCATGCGGTAGATCATTGAAAACAGACGTTTCCCGCCCACCATGCGGTGTTGGCGCTTCACTACTGGAATCGGGTAGAAAATCGAACATAGCTTCAACTAGTTTACTGTCATCAACTGGTTCATCCTGTTTTCGTGCTGCGTCATTAATAATATTCTTCTTCACTTCAACACGACGTCGTTCTTCAATTTCCTTTTCCATTTCTCGTCGTTCTAGTTCGTGCAAACGATCTCGGTAATGTTGTTCCGCGATTTCGCGAGCATGTTTATTGCCTTTATGCATTAGTTCTTGCTCTTCAAGTGCACGTAAATGTAAGACTTCAGCAAATTGTTTATATTCTTCCCGTAATTTTTTGTATTTTCGCATTGCAATCATTCGTCGGACATGTGATTGTATTTTGATAATAGCCCACATCTTATGGCCATATTCTCTGCGCACAAGATATCCACGTGCATGTGCCTGAAGTCCAACTATATGACCCCGCAAATGACGAAAACGATGTGAAAGCACACGCGATCGTATCAGTGCCTGCAATCGCATATATCCAACTAGCATTTGACGGTAGCGTTGCCGCTGCGCGTAACCTTTCCAAAATCTTTGAATTGTAATAGCTGCAGCACGCATTCGCAGAAACCGTCTTCTGTAGACCCAACCACGAATAGTCCGTTGAAGTATTAAAATTTTGCGTGTCAGTACACGGTCACGTTCTTGCTCCAGAAACAAATCATGTGCATCTTTCAAGAACACTTTTGTGTGACCGAGTTGATAATCCGACTTTCCTAAAACATTGGCACAAATACGCGCAGTAGCTGCCTGACAGTCTGTGCGGTGAGCTGGCGGTACGCCTGGTATTAGGAAGCGATAACGTTCAACGAACTCACGGAAACCATGTCGTATTGGGTATCCAGCACGTCGTATACGTATAGTTTCCATCATACCAGAATAGCGCAACTGTCTACAGCATAAACCACGATCAAACATCATTGGTTTCTTGACCTCGTTCGGTTTAATGCAACGTATAAAAAAGGGTTGACAAGTGCTAAGAGTTTTCATTAAAGCGTCTAAGCTTTTCTTAAACTGTGTTGAAAGCGTAGGTGTGCGTTTCCTGGTCTCTGCTCCCATTTCAATATCTTGATTGAAAATCTGGCGTAAAAATTTGTTTGAGCTTTGACTAACTAAATGCAATAAGTCCGGACTAAACGTATCTCGGTTCTTATCTAAAAATCCGCGTGTATCATAAAATACAACACCGGCGAAGTGATTCAAACCAAAGCTAGTGTTTATATCCGATTTGGGTTTTAAATAATTTTTATGTGCACCATGTGTTTTATGTAATTTAGCCAACATGGTTTGATCAGTACCCTTAGGGAAACGTGCCTCTTCATCGATTAAAGCCATAATATTTAATTGTTTAATAGCAATTAGATCTAGTGCATCTTGATTATCAACGAACTCAATGTGTTGCCAATTAATAGCCTCATGATTATACTCTTCCTGCTCCAGCTTGAATATATGTTGCACAAAGAATTGCTGTAGATTTTCATTAGCATAATTGATACAAAATTGTTCAAAACTATTTTGATCAAAATTTTCAAAACCAAATATGTCCAAAACACCAATGGCATTCCGTGATGTGGCACGTGGCTTGTAAATAGCCGAATTAATTTTGCGTACAATGTAAATGAATAGACGACCATAAATGCCCTTCACAAACGCATCACGCACATCAACCGACTGTTCGCGGGACAAAGTCGATACGACAGTCTCACCATGTGCAAATAATGTACGACGGGTTAGCGCGTCAATTAAAGGCTGCATTGGAAGACCAAGTAAAGCTGATACCCTTTCCACATTGATGTGCTCTGGTATTTCGGTAGCATCCAAATTATCCACTACAGTTGCTTTATATTTAATATTACCACAATGCAACAGCGCTGCTAATAGTTTAATTATTTCCCAAATTTCCTGATCGGAAAAGAGTAGCACCTTCATGGCTGACCTAATATCTGAAAATTCAACTGTATCATCCCGTCCTTCACAAGTTATACAATCACCTCCAGTAAGATATCTGTAAGTAGAAATAATATAACATTAGGTTATCATAATTAAATACTTGGATATATTTTGTACGTGCATATATCAATAGAGATTTTTAAAATTATTTATATAAAAATATCTTAGAGGTTTTCGAAAAGTCATGAACTACAACAACAAAAATTATATTTAATATTATTTTAATTGATTGAATTTTAGGCTGACCATACAGTTATTTCAAGTATTACCAAATACACATCATCAGTGGTCTTGGAAATAATTTTTGTATTTATTTTTCGTAAATAATTTTTTGAGATTGCAAGTACCAGGAATCGAACTCATGCACCGCCAAATTTGACATCTTATAAATATTTTTACATTTACATAGTTGTGAATTAAATATATATATAACTAAATATATATGTACTCGCATATATGTATATATTACTGCTTTAAATTACGCGAGCTTCGAATTGCTCAAGCAGTTCAGATGTAGTCGAATTCGAAAATTTGGGTTGAACACGTTCAATGTTCGGAAATGTACTCGAAGATATCCGCGTTACTCGAACAGTAAATTTGCGTTAGGTTTCGTTTTATTTTATAAAAATATGTATGACAGCACATGTTCGTGCATCATATGGTGTTCGATAATAAGAAACCACAAAAGGTTATTTTTTTGTAGACAATGTAATTTTTTTTCTAATACTTACTTATAGTCTGAGGCATTTCCCAAGTCTAATCGACGCTTTTCCTCTGCTGATAATCCAGCCAATATACAATAAAAGATATGATAATTACGTTCACTATGGTTTTGTGAAACTATTCGAGATTTTTCTAATAGGTATTGTTCAATTTTAGCGCCCTCTATAACGCCGCTGCCACTAAAGTGTATATCAATATATTTGCCAAACCTTAAAAGAATTGAAAAAGTTAACATAAAACTTCAAAAAACAGTAAAAAGCAATATTACCGTGATGAATTATCATTTCGTATTGTTTTCGCATTACCGAAAGCCTCTAATATCGGGTTTGCTTCAAGTATTTGTTGTTCTATCCATGAGTGTTTACCACTTATAGCGGCTAGATATTGTAAAATTAGTTTTGTGCTTTCAGTCTTACCAGCGCCGGATTCACCAGATATAACAATGCACTGATCCTGACGATAACGTTTCATATGAGCATAAGCATTGTCACCTATGGCAAATATGTGAGGTGGTAATTCTCCAATTTTACGCTCTTTATACAATTTTATTTGGTCAGCCGTGTATATTGGCAAAATTTGATAAGGATTTACAGCAACAAGGATTGAACCTGTATATGTCTGCAAAAAGTTTAGATACATATATTAATTGTTAATTTAAAGAATAATAATATAATTAACTAATTGCTGATACTTACATATATTAAATTTTCTTTGTATCGTATTAAAAGGTTTCTTAATATTCCAGCCTCATGCAGATCACCTAATGATATCATATCTTCCACACCTTGGACAGAGGAGGCGTGCATCGCTTTGATGCGTCGCTCTGGCGATAGCCAAATTTCATCGCCATCGTCATCACGAACTTGTATACGTCTGCCTTCAGCTGATATAACACGAGCTCCAATGGCTACATCGAATTCTCTGCCCGATGCGGGTTCTATCCAGATGTAGTCACCCTACGCAAGAAATAAAATTTAAAGTTTTAATTTATATTTTTACTATATGTTATTTTATCATATTTGTGTTATGGAAAATCATAATTTTTTAGAAGAACATTAATTTTAAAGTTTACTATGCTCTACCATATTTATTTGAACAAAATATTTGCTTCAGCCATCTAAAGTTCTGGTTATATCGAATGAAACTAAATCGAAATTAGTCAACTAAATTACATTAGTCAAATCGCAGTAAAATTCTATAATAGAGTCACTAGTTGCAACGACTACAACGACATCAGTTTGATAGGCGTATTCACAAGTTCTGTAATCGAGTAACATTATCGATCGTAAACTTTAGGTGCCCACTCCTTATGAAAAGATATACATTTTATAGTCCTAACTTGAAAACAATGCTTCTGTGACATAAGCCAAATAGAATTTTTATGCAAAGTATCATAATTGTTGTATAAATTTTAACCATTTTATAAAATGGACCTTTTAACAACCGCTGAACATGCATTATGAATTTTTATTTAATCAAAAAGTTTAAAGCAATTAGGTTAATAGTATAACTACACTATCAAATTGATATTTAAGCTTCGTCATAATTAATAAACAAATATTTTAACTTCAATAGTTTAATGATAAGAAGACAGAATTACTATATGTAACACTATATGCTCACTTATCATTACCGTAGCTCACAGTAGGTGAGCCAGGTAAAACCTGATTTCAGCAAATCTCCCTTTACATAAACTTTGTCATTTATATATTGTTATATATTGTTATAAGTTTCGACAGTTTATAGGTTATTATATTCAAATTGAAATCTATTCTTATCTAATGACCGGCAAAAGGTTATCAAACTGGGAATCTAATTTTAATTGACGCTTTGCTGGGTGCCTGGTCACACAGGAATCAATGGAAATGAGTCTGTGGACAATTTTACGAGGTCAGGATCTGCCATTCAACTCTGTGGACCAGAGCCACATAGTGGATTAAGTTGCTCTGCAACTAGGTCTCTGATTGATAAATAGTTTTCAACCGAGAAAAGACGCTACTGGCGCAGCATTTCAAGTAACCGTCAGGTTAAAGAGCTGGTTCATCGCTACAGTTATGGTAAGGTATCCTTTTTCAGCAGAACAGAGTTGAGGTTACTGGTGGGATATTTAACGGGTGAACATGGAGTACGTTATCACCTTAACAAAATGGGTCTGTCCGAAGAGATAGATTGTCGACTCTGCTTAGAAGCAGATCAGACTTCCAGTCACATTCTCAGTGACATTCCAGCCTTGATCTGAGCCTGGAGGAGATTACTAGGTCGAGAACTACTTCACCCTTTTGATATTAGAAGGTCCTTAACGGCTGACTTTATGGCTTTCATTCGAAAGGCGGAATCTCTTCTATTCAGTCAGGGTCTGTTACAGTACAAAAGATCAACCATGGTCGCAGTACTCCGCAGTACTCCGTACTCCGTTGGGAGCTGGTACACTGTTTATTTCTAATTCTATAGATATTATGCATGAAATAAGTAAGTATTTAACAAAATATTTACATGGTAATACAATTGAAGTACCAAATAGTAGTATGGGCTATATAAAATACATTTTAAAATTAAAGTAGTTTCTAGGTAGTAGGTAGTCAATAGTTTCGAAAATTATAACATTTTTTGTAATTAATTTTGTTAAGCTTATAATTATAAACAAAAATGCAAAAAAATAATTTATGAATGAAACTAAAAAAAAATTTAAGTTGGTCTATGAATATTAAAAGGGAGAGGGATTAATGTTACTTAAACTATTTAATTAACTCTCATTCAAGATGATTTTTTACAGTAATTACTTAATTTTTTGTTTTTTTTTTATAGATACTTAAAAGTGTTGTAATTTATTTTATTCAAAGCAGCGGATAGGCGTTGCAACCTTTTTGCGCGGCAAGCAAAAGTGATTATGGTAAATCATTAGATGTACTAAATACCATTCAGAAACTGAAGATAAATATTTTATCTAATGGCCATTGTAATAATTTTACTGAAAGAAAGAAGAAAAACCCTTGAAATGAGCGTTTACCAAGGTCTAAACAACTTTCATGGTGATTTGGATTTGTTCGCGCCCTTCTACTACTGGTACACCGCCAACAACAAATAAATAATAGCAGAAAATGTTTACAAGTTAAGCTTAAAAGTTGATGTTGCTGTGTTTTAATTTATTTTATTTTTGTTTTTTTTATGTTTTTTGGATTTTTCTGGTATTCTACTTCATGGAAATGTAGTTACCACAGTGCTTTGTTCAATTTTTTACTAAATGGTTCGTTGATTTTTGTTGACGCGTCATCAACGCAACTCATAGCAACAACAACACTTTTAAGTAAGCCACACATATTATGGCATATACGATTTAAGCCAATTTCTCATTTTTATACATAACATATATCAAAATGCACTACGTAAGCCCGGTACATTAACCCTAACTTCTTTACCAACTTCTATCACCATAACAACTGCTACCTTTCTTTCACACTTTGACGGTTTTTTCTAAATTACTCAATAAAATAATTATAGTTGGTCGTAACGACTGATATATAGTTCTTCATATGTTTGTATAACAAACTGCATTTAAGAAATGTTAATATTGAATTTATATGTATGTATATTTATATAATTATGAAATTAATTTGTTACAAAATAAATTGTGACTAATTAACATAACCATCGTTAGCTATGGCGACTATTTCACTTAAAAACTAATGTATTTTGTTAGAGAGGTTCCGAAAAGTAACAAACAACAGCAACAAAAATTCTTTTAATTTTATTTGTAAGTAATTGAATTTTTTGCTGACCCAAAAAAATTTTTAATACTTGCAGTCTTAAAAAATAATTTACGAATAATTAAAGAAAGATTAAAGAGCATTTTTTTAATGTTAATTTTTTTTTTTTTTGCCAAAATTGAGGCAAGACGCCTCAAATGTAAAGAAACTAAAAGTTAGAAGAGTTCCAATGGAAATGAAAAGATAAAAACAAAAATTTTAGTTAATTTATTGAAAATTTGGCTGACCATATAATGCTCCTTCGAGTATTGCCAAGTACACATCATCAGTGGTCTTACGAAATATTCGAATTTCTTTTTAATTAGTTTATAGTTCGTATATAATTTGTTTGAACTCAAGCAAGCCAGGCCTAGAATTCGTGCCTTATGATGGTCTGAAATGCCATGGTTTCAAAAAACTCGACAAAACTCGACATATGGATTTCACAAGTTTCTGACGAAAAAATTTATTTCACTGACACCTGCGATTCTTAAAAGTCAAGAAAATTATGTTTTCTTAAAACAGATTTATATTATTTTTTACAAACTATAATTCCCCGATGATGACTATAGATTATAGTCGAAATATTGGACAATAAAAATCTTATAATACCAAATAATAAAAGTTTTTTTTTAAAAATGATCATTATTTAATAACTGACCAATTAGCCCGTGAAATAATTATTTTTAAAAAAATTTCTTTTGGTCATTAAAACATTTAATTATTATTTTTTACAATAATATTAAATACAAAAGATTATGAAATGAAAATCGTGAACCGGTCCAAACTTCTTATAAAGCTAATATTCGTCAAATATGTTGTATTTTATAGTTAATGGAATTTCAAGGGAATCGTTTTGTTGATATTTCAGCTAGCAATAGGACGATCAATTCTGAAATATACTTATATTCATTGGACTGATGAAATTATGCATCTAATCAGAAAGTCTTTAACTATTCAAAAAAAGAAATGCGAATTGTTTCATAAAGATAATGCGAAACTTTATGCAAAATTTTAGTTACCTGCCAAAAACTGTTTCAGTTCTAATGGAATATGTTGTCACACCCACAATATACTTCAGATCTAAAACCCTCGAATCTACATATATCGTTATTCCTACAAGAATGTTAAGACGGCAAACTCCATACTTCAAAAAAAAAATATTATAATTGATTTGGATCGGTTTTTTTTTTCAGCGAAGAACAGAAATTTCGTGAGAGTAAAATTATTTTACTGTAAAAAAATTGCTTAACGATATTAGAGAACTAAACTGAGAATATAAAATTCAATAAAAAATATATGTATATTTCTATATCTATATCTTAAACTTAACAACAAAACAACAAATTTTTAAATATTTTAACCTATAGGAATAAGGACTTCATAAGTTTGAGAATTATTTCAATATATTTAGTTCCGATAAAAACATTTTATCCGTAAAAAATACACTGTCACAGTTATCTGGCAGTACTGTTTTTACTATTTAATTATGAGGGATTTAAGTAGCTGTTTACATTGCGTTAATATCACCGTTTTTTGCAATCGTACCTTATGATAAACCCCTTGGCTTTCTGTTCACGAATGTTCTGAAGATGAAATAGCCACTTTAGATTAAAGAAAGTTCGCTATAGAAAGCCAACGAAAAATGTATATTGACTTAGGTCAATAACTAGCATAGTTGTTTGACATTCGATAGAGCATAGAATTAAACTTTATGGAACTAATAACATATTTCTATTATTTTTGAATTCCAGAGAATTCGGGTTTAGGTATATGTTATTTTTTATTATATTATTTGTTGTTATCCAGTAATCTTTCGAAAGAAATTAATTGTATAGCTATGAGTATCTTAAAAAACTTTCTCACATCTTGTTTTTGGTATAGATATATTCGAAAAATTATTTTAAATTAATTTTAATTTAATGAGAGTTATTTATTAGATTTAATTTAATGTTTTTTATTTGAAATAATTAACTTGTTAAAAATCAATATTAAAAATTATACACTTATTATGTTAGAAAACTGTCTAATGGAGGTTCAATGCCGAATGTAGCTCTTTGAAGTCATACTAAACAAAGCGATACCATATACTTATGTTATGTATATATAATTTAACCAGTAACAATAATTTACTAGCATATTTTATGTTTTTGTAATTATTTTGGTTACTACTACTGTTGTTGTTGTTGTTAATGTAAAAAACTCAGTAAACC